ACTCTGCGATGACCATGAGCAAAACAAAACGAGTAATTTTCTATTTATACCACACAAGTGCTACAAGCTTGTACAATACATATACATAATATATTGATGTATGAAACAGATTCGCTCTTTCTTATAACGTTATATACTCGGAAATAAATTTTGAAGTAAGTTCGAACCAAAACACTTAATAATATTTATTTACACAAGGAATACTTATACTAAAAAATATTCCTAGTTATTTTTTGTATATTTTATCGACTAAGATCGAAACAGCAAATTCAGGTGTACGAAATTCCAACAAACAGGCAATAATCAAAATAGACTTACTAAAGTGTAAACTATATTGCATAAAATACACAAAATTATTTTACGTAATTTATATTCAATCTCAACGTTCCATATAAAGTCGTCTGCCTCATAACAATTACTTATGTTACTTAACGTTATTTTTTCTATTACTTATCGTTACCAAAACGTCCAAATGTCATTGTAACTATGTTAGACTGTGGCGTCCTTACTCAATTATGAGCAATGAAGTATCTTTTTCTTTTTTTTTGTTCATAAGTCTTTTTTAGCTTTGATTGTAATGTGTCATGTGTGTAGTTGTAAGTGTTGGAATAACTATGTTATTTTCCCAAGAAAGTAGTCAAAAGCTTTTTTGGTTTAGTGTAAGCGATTAATACGAGTAGTTGTTTCGTAGGAGCAACAAATTTAATTTTCCAGATTTGTTTGTAATAATTACGCATATAAATATAAATTCACCAGCCCCTTCTGGTAAAACGAGATATATCGCAAAGTATCACGTTTTGTACATGTATTCGAATAATTGAAACTAAGTATATATAAAGTTCATGTAATGGATAGCACGTCCTTCACATTACCCAAGATGGAAGAGAGAAATAGAAAAGAGAAAAATAGCACCTTATTAAGAAACAATAAATACATTTATATTATTTTGTCTCTGACAAGAAGTGTATGCTTAATTTAGATATAATAGGTAAATAATATATAGGTTCTAGATGGCTCTACAGATGTTTTTCTATCCTTTCCGGATGGTATTGGCGAGACGAGTGTCACTCGAATTGACTCCAGACCTTTTAGTGTAAATATAAAATTTATTAAAAATACTTTATTTTCTTTTTTGGCACTAAAGCGATATATTATTGTGAATATGAGTCATTTTGAAGCATGAATAGAATATGATGATATTTTTTTATAGAATAAGTGTGACTAACGAGCACACAGCCCACCTGATGGTAAGTGGATGATGTGGCCCATAGGCATTTAAATTTATCCTCGATTTACAATCAAAATGCATATGCATTGTCACTCTTGACGACTAAGATGGAATGCTTCGTTTTCAGTAAAGAGGGGTCCCCCGTCCTCTACACTCACCATACGCAAGACAGCATCATTAATCTGCTATTTTATGCTGATATTCTGTGAGAGCGTGGTAATATTTAATTACTCACGTGAAAGTGAAAACTATTTGTGAAAGTTTTTAAATGATTTAGCAGTACTAAAACACAGATACTAAAAATCCTTGAGTATACGGATTTGCCTTAATTGTCACGCTTTGAAGGGGTAATAAACGATCGCAGTACCAGATGTCGAGCACCTTCGACGCTGCTGGGCCTTAACGGTCTGGGTATTTTACGTCTGGCGTAAACAACGTTTGTTATACCTCCATTTATTGGAACGCATTAGATTTTTTCTTTCATCCTATAGCTAAATTTTACGACACTCACAGAAGAAATACTTAACACTATAGATAAACCACTTAATTGGCGGATGCCCCGCGCGGTCTGGAGGCAAGCGGGGGCGGAAATCGACGCACACGTAGTTAATTAACCCAAGATAGACCCTGCGATAATGTTCGGACCGACGCAATATGAAACAATGCAAATTTATCTTTATCTCGCTATGTAATGTTTTTAGTTTAAGCAACTGTGGTCTGAAATATAAAATGGCTTTGCAACATAATATTTATTTTATTTATAATATTTAATTTGTTTATTGTATATAATTATAATGCAGTAAAAAATGCGTGAATGTCGTGAAACACTCGGTTGGAACTAAATTCCTTGCGTAGTATATTATTATTGATTAACAAATACAAATTAATGAATTACGAGCGCCTATTAAAATGAAGTGTCATTTGAAATAAAATAATATTTCTTTCATGGCAAGATAAGAAAAAGTGCGACGGAGATGGATATTATTCCATCTCACTACCTTATTTCGCCACCAAGGCCGTCTACACTATGACACAAGGAGTAGTGACGAAAAAATCTGTCGCCTAGCTCCCATCCACCAAACCCGTACCGTCCGTTAAGGAACTTCGTTCCAATACATACATAAATAAAAACCCAACCAGATGGAAGCCATCGACAGGGGAGACCAAACGGCCGAGGGTTAGGGGAAAGGGAAAGAAACCGGCGGACGATGCGGGTGGTATCAAGAAGCGCCGCCTTCTACATTTGAGCTTGAAGCGGTCCCACGGAGTCCCAGTCGCCTCAGATGACCCGAGAGGCTGACTGGGATTAACCCAATCGCAGAAACAACCACAAGTATAATTTCGGTCGGCAGTCCACCCCACATGTCGGTCACCTCGTGAGCCAGGTCCAGATATTTTTTTCGCTTATCTATTTGGGCTTTCACGAAATTCTAGTCATATGGAATGGTAATGTCAACCAAAACTATTATTGACTGACCAATCCATCAGCACAATATCGGGCTTATTCGCAAGATTGGTCATGTCTGTGATGATGGCCCGGTCCCAGTAGAGCCTAGCGCGGTCATTTTCGAGCACAGCTTCCGGCATGTACTTATAATAAGGCAGTTTCAAATCCACGAGACCGTATTTCAGAGCAAGCTCCTGATGTAGAATCCTGGCTACTAGGTTATGCCTATGCAAGTACTCAGAGTTATAAAACGACGAACAAGCAGAGATCACATGCCTAAGTGATTCATCGGGATGGCGACAAGTTCGACAAATGTCGACGGTGCCATCCCTTAGTATGTATCTCCGATAGATGTCGGTCTTAATAACCTGATCCTGTATTGCACAGAGAAAACCCTCGATTTCTCCGAAGAGGTCATCAAAACGTAGCCAGTGGAGGGAGGCAACTGTGTCTACGAAAGGGTCATGTAAAGCCTTGTAGAACCTCCCGTGGAGCTCCTTCTCCTTCTTCTCCTTTACGGTCTCCCTGTCGGAAATGCTCTGTACTGCCAGGTCTTACCATTGCTCGTTGGCTAAGGATAGAGGGGTAAGTCCTTTATCACAAGAAATAACGTCCCTATAGAATTGATCATCCGCTCTCGTCAGAAAGTAATTACGGAGACTGAACACTTCGCGATTATGCATGGTAAGCGCGCTTAAAAGGCCACGCCCACCATGTTTCTGCGGCAAGTACAGTCTCATAATCGACAATCTCGGGTGATGCATCCTATGGGACGTCATAGTAATGCGGACTTTTCTATCCAGGGCGTTAAATTCAGTTTGAGTCCACCTAAGTATGCCAAAGGTATACATGAGAACAGGCACGACTCAACCGTTATATGAGTGTGTCTTATTCACACCGGACAAAAGGCTGTTATGCACTTTGGTCCAGCGTGCATAAAACACATGGCAAACTGATTGCTTCATACCCGCCTCATCGATACGATGTTCTGTGACATACCCAGGTATCGGTATGTTTCAGCCTCGGAAAGAGTCCTTATGCTGATGGGCATAGATAAGTCTATGCCCTCAGAGTTAGCAACCCTTCCCCTTTCGACATGGAGGATTGCACACTTATCCGTCCCCAGCTCCATTCTAATAGAATTACTAAAACCACAGGTGATGTTTAGCTTTTTTTTATTCCGTAAGATGGGAGTGATTGGAGGCGAATAACTTGAGATTATCCATATAGAAATGGTGGGCCACTTTGTACCTCCTTTTCGAAGCTGAAATCCCTATCCCTCCTCCCCTCCCGGAGTCCTCCAGTAAGGTACTGAGCAGCGATCACCGAATGGTTAGAGGCACACTGAACCTAATCGTTAAATTGGACAGGTCTCGTCTAATGAAGTCAACGCTCCGTCCCCCTCGTGCTCTGTTCCAAAGTCCTGAAACCTTTCAGCTCGAGTTACAAAACCGTTTGCAGTGCCTAGAAAACTGCAATGAAGTGGACGATATGAACGACAAGCTCGTGGAAACTGTCCATGCGATCAGAGCTAAGTTCTGCAAGACCCACACCCACACAGGGGGAGGCAAAAACATAATATACTATAAAATGTTATTATTTTCGAGTATTTATAGAGTATTCTCATCTGCTTGGGCTGAATTAATATATTAAAGTAAATAATAAATAAACATAAATAAATAAATAATACATAAATAAATAAAGTCCCAACCATATAGAAACCAAACGGCTGAGGGTTAGGGGTAAAGGGAAAGTAACCGGTGGACAATGCAGGCGGTATCAAGGAGCACCGCCTTCTGCATTTGAGCCCGGAGTGGTCTGTCACGGAGTCCCAGTCGCCTCAGATGACCCGAAAGGCTGATCGGGATTAACCCGTTTGCAGAGACGACTACAGGAATAATTTCAGTCGGCAAACACCCCACATGTCGGTCACCTCGTGAGCCAGGTCTAGATATTTTGTTTTCTTATCTGCTTCGGCTTTCACGAGGTTCTCGTCATAAGGAAGTTATTATAATTATTATTATATTGTCAAAATTGTAAAAATACTTTCTTTTCAACAGGAACCAGGCAAGAAGTTGCAGTAAAATAAAACAATGAAGTAGAAAGGAAGTTAAATTAATGCTCACAAAACTTGCTGACATACAAATACCTCTCGGAATTAATTATAGGTATTTAATCATGTGTGCAAGAAAGTTCATTCCTGTGAAATTCAAATCTTATTTTACTGAAGAAATAAAGGCCATTGCGAAGATTGTGTAGAAGCCAATGCGAAGACGACGTGGGTGGCCGGCGGGCCGACAGGCGCGTTGACTGCATGCACGCATCATGCGACAGGCTCTATGGTTCCTGCTCACCATCGCGTGTACAGTTGTCTCCGCGCAGATAGCATGGACTCCAATTTTCCTAGATGCAAGCAGTGAGTTCACTTACATAACAATTTTCATATTCGAAAATCATTAAAAAATAAATAATAAACTAGAAATGACATAGAAATAAATACCAATAGTTTGACTGCCTTCGTGGGTGTAGTTTTCGTAAACGTGTTGCTGATCATGAGGTTCTAGGTTCGAATCCCGGGCCAAAATCAGTTATTGGGTTTTTCTATTAAAAAATTCTCAATAGCAGCACGGAGTCAGGAAGTTGGCGATGTCATCACCCCCGTGCCTCAGAAAGCACGTGAAGCCGTAAGTCTTACGACTGATCTCTCTCTAGTCGTGTTGGATTATATCCCATCACCGTACACTCGGGCACTATTATCCTGTCCTGCGCTATTGTCCATTTAGACTGGCCGGCGTGGTCGAAATTTGGTCTAGAGGACATTATAAGCAATAGTTTGACTATAATTCTCTTACTTTACTAATTTCTCTTTGGATTAAAAATTAAATACTGTAGAGTGCAATTTTCTAAAAAACAATAAAGAACAACAGACTTTAATTTCCCATATTACATAGCTGCTTATCACTTGTATAGAAGTTTTATCATTCTTAATCAGCTCACAATAGTTTACCACTGGTCATGGCCTGTCATATCACACTTGGCTATCAGAAATCCCGTGCCTTTGACGCTGCTGCAAAATAAATGGTTATGCCGCGATTTATTGAATGCATTAGATTTTTCTGTGGTTTTCATTGGGGTTGATGGATTCTCTTAAGGCAAATTTTTAATTTTTTTAAAGCTAATTTAAAGGTACTACTATTTAAAGGTACTATTTAAAAGTACTACTATTGTGGACTGATTTGTCGCTGTTTTTCAGTAATTTTAATTTTTATGATCCCATATAGAAGACCACTATTTTGTATGCACGATCATAAGTTCATGTGCACTATCCATAATTTTACTGGCCAAATTTTTCGTTTTGAAATTCTGGATCTAGATTGTCAATGTTAACCTTGTTGCTAAAAAAATTCTTACGCCTACATTTTGCTATTTTGTCTAATTAAACGTAAGCCACGTTTAATAAAATAATATAGTCTAAATTATAATATTTTATATTTTTTAATTTATTTCTTTTTAAATGAAACTTATTTTTACGGATTCTTTCGCGATTAATTTAACTTTTTAATTCCCGACGTTTCGCGTGCTTTACAGCAACCCATGGTCACGAGGAGACAAGGTGTTTGACGTCCCGATGTCATTGTTAGCCCGGCTACCTTCAGTTTTTGAATATTAATTTTTGGTCTGATCTACGCAGAATGAGCTTAGATTATCTGGAAGTCTTGCAGTGGTATAGTTGGGTTTAGATTTTATTTTATTAATTATAGGATCCCAAGCAGATGACAGTACCCATCCATCTTCTCTATTGAAATTAGGATGTTTTTTAATTTCATTAGCCACGCGAATCTTCCTTGGTAGGAATCGGATCGGTTCTTTTGCGAGGATTCGTGGTTTATCAAATCTAATGTCATGGCGGGGACTACCTTGAACATATTTACAAACTGCAGACTTCCCGGAACGTCGTAGCTTTAAGTCAGCTATAAGTTTCTTTTACGCAGGTTTTTTAATAGATCTCTTTGTTTGTTCTACGTAAGAGATACCACATTCACAATCAAGCTTGTACACTCCTGCATATTTTAGAGGGATATGACACTTGACGTATAGTAAAAATTGACTAATCTTCTTCGGCGGCTTAAATGGAAGCTCGCTTGTCTGTGACTTCTCTGACATAGGGTAGTACAGCAGGCACACGTTCGACTGTGGCCGTACTCACTCGGTCACTGTGACGTAGGCGCGGCACCCGAAGCTTGTTGTCATGCAATACTTGGTCAACGTGCTGAAGTTTGGCGGCCAGATGTTTTCTGTCACAGATACCTTGTGCTTTCTGAAACAAAGATTTCCCCACGGTAGCTGACTGTGATGGATGATGATGCGATTCACCATTTAAATATCGGGTGGTATGAAGCCTTTTCCTATACATAGTGTGACCAGTAGTGTTATTAGGATTCAGGATGATTAAAACATCTAGGAAAGCTAAAGAATTGTTTTCCTTTAACTCCATTGTGAATTGTATTTAAGAGTTTATGGAATTAAGGTGGTTTTAAATGCAGTTACTTTATGAAATGGTAAAATTGTGAAAGTATCGTCTACGTACCGCTTGTAGAATCTTGGGATTACAGGAGCAGTAAGTAGGGCTTTCTCCTCAAAGTCCTCCATGAATATATCGGCGACTACGGGAGATACAGGTGAACCATCGCCACACCGTCTACTTTCTTGTAGAACTCTTCCTTCCACAATAGAAAGGCAGATGTGAAGCAGTGTTTGAGTAATACTGCATATTCTATAGGCATGTTGTTATCTTCTAGCTTCTTAGTTACAATTGAGATGCAGTCTTCAATAGGTAGGCATGTGAATAGTGACTGAACAATAAAACTGACCATAGTTTCACTGTTAGCGAGATGTAGGTAGGTCTTTTATCTCACTAACAAAATGGTATGGATCCTTTATGTGTGTTGTGGTAGGTACTCTCAGTGGTGATAGTATTTTTGCCAAGTGGTAAGCCAATTTATAAGTTGGTGAATCGATCTGGCTTACTATGGGACGTAGTGGGGCGTTTGGTTTGTGTATTTTCGGTAACCCATATAACCTCGGTGGTCTGGCACATGATGGTATTGTCGAATTCACGTAGAGATTTAATTTTTCAGAGTATTTCTTTATTAAATCGGTAGTTGTTTTAAGTGTATTAGTTGTAGGACCTATTTTGACCTTTTTGTATGTACTTACGTCCGACAAAATTTGTTGTATTTTGAAATTATACTCTGACGTGTCCATTATTAGCATTTCCTTTATCCGCGCAGAGAATCGTGAGCTCTGGTCTGTTGCATAAGTTATACAACGCTTTAAACTCGTCTTTGAGGAGATTTAGTTTCGGCGCTGAACTTCGACGTAACAAGGACAAAATGTCTTGACGTATGGCCTCTAAACGATCCTTACCGATATTATTCTTAAACAGACAGTGACCCCATGGTCACTGTGAAGGATAGTTATGAGAATCACCCTTTAAATATCTATCTGTATGGGTCTTTTTTTCTACACACAGTGTATCTCAAGGTGTTTTTAGGATTCCGAATTACTAACACATCTAGAAAAGTTAAAGAATTGTTTGTCTCTAACTCCATTGTGAACTGAATTTAAGAACTTATGGAGTTAAGATGGTCTAAAAATGCAGTTACTTTATCTAAAGGTAGAATTGTGAAAGTGTTGTCTTCGAACCGCTTGTAGAATCTTGGGTTTATGGGAGAAGTAAGCAGGGCTTTCTCCTCAAACCCTGTTGTTTCGCGTGCTTTACAGCACCCATGTGCTGTAAAGCACGCGAAACAACAGGGAATTAAAACGTCGGGAATTAAAAAGTTAAATTAAACGCGATAGAATCCGTAAAAATTAGTTTCATTCGATGTGTAGTAGTCTTCGCGTAAATATAAGAAATCATTATTTCTTTTTGTAGCATTCAATAAAGGAGTAGGTTCTTTTAAATCCTAATTTGACTTTACGTTTTTTATATGTAGGGTTATTTTTCAAAGGGTAGCCAAATTTGAAATTTTAATTCAAATACATAAATAACGGTGATAAACCGTTATTGAAGTTTAAGATAATACGAGCTTCTACTTTTATTTGAAATTATCCCAAATTGAATGTGATTTAGGGGCAACAACGTTATTGCCTTCCGAACGACCCTTACAAATGTGTGCGTGCGCAATAAAATCAAATAATGTATTACCTCGCATTTTGTATTTAAAAATATTTTTATTTATAAAATACTCTCAAATATTCTGCCCTTTTTAGAGAATGTTTGAGATTTATTTTAATAAATTTTTCTTCACCATTTGCCTATAATACTTATTATGAACCTTCGCTGCATATCTTTTTCTACTGTGAACCGATTTTGATGATTTTTTTTTACCACCACCACCACTTTTAATTTAGACCACATACATACCCTTCGGCAAATTGTACAGAAGTCCGAAGAGTACAATTTGACACTATGTCTGGCGTATGTAGACTGTGAGAAAGCCTTTGATTCCGTCGAAATTTGGGCGGTGCTGCAGTCCCTTCAGCGGTGCCAAGTTGACTGTCGGTATATCGAAGTGTTGAAGTGCTTGTACAGTAGGGCAACGATGGCTATCCGAGTACAGAACCAGAATACGAAACCTATCCAATTGCAGAGAGGTGTAAGACAGGGTGACGTCATATCCCCGAAACTCTTCACCGCTGCATTGGAAGACGTTTTCAAGCTTCTGGACTGGAAAGGATACGGTATCAACATCAATGGCGAGTACATCACTCACCTTCGATTTGCCGACGATATAGTCCTTATGGCAGAATCGCTGGAGGACCTAAGCACTATGCTCAATGACCTCGATAGTATTTCCCAACGGATAGGTCTTAAGATGAACATGGACAAAACAAAGATCATGTTCAATGTCCAAGTCACACCTATGCCGGTAGTTGTTGGGAGCACTAAGCTCGAAGTTGTTGACGAGTATGTTTACCTGGGACAAATAGTCCGACTAGGTAAGTCCAACTTCGACCGAGAGGTCAATCGACGGATTCAACTCGGCTGGGCAGCGTTCGGGAAGCTACGACACATCTTCTCTTCAGACATACCTCAAAACCTGAAAACGAAATTGTACAACCAGTGCGTGTTGCCAGTGATGACTTATGGAACTGAGACGTGGTCCTTCACTGCTGGCCGTATAAGGAAGCTCAAGGTCGCTCAGTGAGCTATGGAGAGGGCTATGCTCGGAGTTTCTCTGCGTGATAAACTTAGGAATGAGGATATCCGCAGTAGAACCAGAGTAACCGACATAGCCCAACGGATTAGTAAGCTGAAGTGGCAATGGGCCGGCCATATAGCTCGAAGAACCGACAACCGATGGGGAAGAAAGGTTCTCGAGTGGCAGCCTCGTACTGGTAGGCGAAGTGTAGGGCGTCCCCCCACGAGATGGAGTGACGACCTGGTAAGACATGCAGGAAGTCGATGGATGCAGGTGGCTCAGGACCGTGCTTTGTGGCATTCTTTGGGGGAGGCCTATGTTCAGCAGTGGACTTGTGAAGGGCTGTAATGATGATGAATGATGACTTTTAATTTGAAGAAAGAAATAGTGGGTGACATTTATAATGTAACTATTAGACGATATTCTGGTTGTAATATTGAACTTATGATATTAATAAGACCACTCAAAAGAGTTAAACTTGTAATAAAAGTTTAATTATTAAAAAGGGATTAAGCCCAAAAATTTGATATTAAATTGGCAACACTAGGCGTCAGACATGAAATTACGGATAGTAAAATTACGTGTAGTGTAAAAGTGTACTTTCGTGTTTTCACTGCTAAAGGGCGGAGCCTCTAGCATGAAATTTCGGACTGTAAAATCAACATGTACGGCTCTATCTGCTTTACGTAATAATTATGCTATTGATCGTGATAAAATCTCTGATATGGTCTGAGATCTGATTAAAATTTCAAGTAAATTAACTAACTTCGGATATACATATTTTTTTTAAATAAAACAACTCTTTCTTTATTTTTACTTGATCAAATCCTGTGTTTGTTTAGCCTGCAACTGTTGTTATCTATAGAGAATGAATGTTTGTAAAACGCATCCAAGATACAACAAAATCCTACTGTGTGGGTAACCTTTTAAAAAAAGAAAATAATACTTACAATATGATATTTTGTTGTAACCAATTTGTGACAAGTAAATCAAAAATAAACTTATTCCTTACTTTTTTCTGCGTTAGGTCAAGTGGATCTATGGACGCAATCATCAACTGGTTGCGCCTGTCCGGGCGATGGCGGAGAAGACTGCGCGTGTTGTGTTCGCGACGGTGCATGTCCTTGTGGTGACGTAACACCAACGCGGTGCGCGCAGTGCGGACTCGAACAGTACTGCTCCAGCAGTTAGTTTTTTCCATTTATTTATTTCAAAATACCGTTACCGTTACAGCCTATTAAAGTTCACTGCTGAACATAGGCCTCCCACATAGATTGCCTCATAGGGACATTAGAGTTAAAGGAAATAAGTGAAGCTGATGCGGGAGAATATGTATGTGCAGCGACTAATAACGAGGGTTCTGCTTACAGTGAGCCTATTGCTGTCGATGTCACTTGTAAGTTTAAATATGATAAATTAATTACTGTCTATAAATGTGACTTAGGTGACTGCAGCCCCTATATTACTTAAGCTCTGGTTTCCTAGATATTTGCTATATTTGCGATGCTTGGTAAGTGGGTTGGCAACCGCAGTTAATTTTTAAATTTTTAATCGTTATTAGGAAGACGCTGCTGCCCATCTCGTGATTTGTTTCTCTCTCTGGATGATATTATGGATATTTATGCATAGGCACTACACGGTTAAAATTTCCTTTTATAAATAAATTACTGCCATTTATTTAGGAAAGCCTGGTATACAGCTGTGGTTTATGTCCACTTTCACTTATTCTCCATGGTACATCAAGATATACGTAAATTTGTTGTTACCTCTATGAGATTTAATGTTGTAACTTATTATTAGGTTTTCGGTTATGATCTCTTTTTTCTCTTTTCATAAAATAATACAGCACCTTTACTTAACTACTTCTGCTGATATATTTAAAGAAAGGTTTATTTACACAGATGTAAGGGGTAGGTGCAACTGGTTTAGTGTTGCAAATGAGCACTACCATAGATAAACAGTTCAAGAGCGCAACACGCCACTACGCGCAAATACGAGTATATACATCAAGTGTAGGATATATTATTAAACAAATGTTGCAAAAGTTTTTTAATGAGAATACATTTTTAATAAGCTAATTAAAACTGCGTCTCTCATACTTCATCCCAAACGACCTCCTCTCATATCGCGTAATGGTTATTTAGGTTAGTTAGGTTAAAGTGAGTGACTGCCACTTTACTGTTATTTGCAAGATTCATAAATATTTGGAAATTAAAGCCGAGGTAATATCATTTTCAGTACAACAAACAGTACAAATGTGTACTCGATGGTGAACGTCAGTACATTTTTTTCTTATATTAAGGCAGTGCTCGACTAAAATCTCACCTGATGGTAAGCGGTGATAGATGGTATGATAGAAAGAAAGAAAGAAATATTTATTGCAACACGCCACAAACATAATTACGCATTAATATGGATGGTATATGCTATATAAAATATATAAAATATTTTTTATAGAATAAAGGTGACTAACGAGCACACAATCCACGTAATGGTAAGTGGGTGCTGTGACCCATAAACATTTACATCTATCCTCGATTAAGAATCAAAATTTAGATGCGCTGTCATCCGTAAGGACTGTCATGAAATGCCTCGTTTCCAGTGAAAAACGTCTCTGGTTCTCTACACTCACCGTACGAAACACAGTAGCGTTAGGCTTCTATTTTACGCCGGTGCCCTGTGAGAGCGTGGTTCTTCCCCGGTCTAGCCGACCTATTTGTGCTACGACACTACTAATATAGCTGCAGCATGACTATACCACGTAAAGACACTTGAAGTGATATTCACAAAATTATTTATCGAGACGATAGTTCATAGCTGTGCTGGGATTCAGTAGGTGGCACTATCAACACAACGACTACACCAATCAAACTCATTGCACCAACTATCGTAAAGGATAGAACTATGACTGTCGAGTCAGCTACCTTATTATAATAGTTTACTTCTTAATGAAAATTAAATTAAATGTTTTGTGTTTTGTTCGGTGCTTAGTGTGCAACATTACTATCGATTCACGCATTCTCAAAAACAAGTCGGGGAAGACATTTGGACAGATTAAATCGCCATCGATCGAAGGACCAGGCGCTTGTTCATACTTCTTGCAACCAGACGCGGGACAACGAGTCGAAATACAACTCTATAGGCTGGTTTCTGCCGGTCGGTTTAACGGATCAAGGTAAATATACTTTTCGATTGATTAATTTTAGCTGTTTAAGCCAAAAGTAGCTTAAAGTAAAAACTTTGGGGAATATAGTTAGAAAATCCATAAACACATTTTTACTTCTATGTGATTTCTCAATAGAAAGTTAAAGAAACTCCTCTATAAATTTATCGGTATCCGATTGATAGCGGAATAGGGCTGGTGTGCAAAACCCAATGCGAAGCTACAGGTTTTATCTAGATGATAAACATTTTAGCTCAAAAAATTATTTTTCGTGGAGTCCCAAATTATTCGTGCGTAATAAGTTCTGTTCATCTTTTACAATACGTTCCATCTCCTTAAGTCCAATCCAATCCATTATTAAAAAAGAAACCATTTCAATTTTTGGCTGTCACTAAACTCACAGTAGCAAGCAAAGAATATAATATAGATAATATAGTTATTTATTCATTCCTCACAAGGTTAGTTTGATCATTATTCTAATTAGATTTTATACCACCGTAGTTGTGTTGGTGGCTGGTTACAACTAAGTGGAGCGAGCGCCGTGCGAAATGTAGATGGAGTAGCTGAAACACGCCTTTGTGGTGAAAACGAGCGCTACACTCCACCGGTAGTGCTATTTGCAGACCATGGTGCTTCAACGCTTGATTTTAGGTTCGTAAATATTTTAAAATTTTTCTTTACTCGGTATGTATCGTGTTTATTATGTGGTGTGAAGTGTGCTTAAAATTCATAGTACGGGAGCAACGAGTTCGATCCGATACACACTAAAACTATTAAAAGCAATATTAAGTGCTATATTGGAAAGCGTGATGGTCGTATTCCTCTTCCATAAAACTCTATAAATGAGAGGAGGCGCGTGCACTTTTATTTATAACATAAAATCCTTGAAAGTTAAAAGTACCTAGAAAAAAAAATTATCCTTTCAAATGTTTAATATTTTGTGTCAATTTATGCATAACTAAAAACTGCTTTAATTTAATTTATTTATAGTATAACAAACTAAATAAAAGTCTTGTCATATTCACTCTTCATTTTTTCATCAAATATGTGGTTTTATTAAAAATATTATATTAACCTCATTACATGTTTTGGCAGGATAACAGAAAAAACAGTAAGATCACAATTTTTGGCCTTCTTCAGCTTCACTTCTTTAAGTAACACGCAAGGTATGGGGTTTCATCCCCGTGGGGGCTCCAGAATACCTCATACTGGTAAAATTTACTTGTACTACAATTTCCGTATTATTTTTGTCCTTTAAGTAGAAGAAGTAAAATGTAGTTGTAATATCGTAATATTTACTAATTTTTAACAATAATTACGTAAGATATCGCCTTTTTTCTTTTATTTTTTACATATTAATAGATACATACACAGTTACAATGCTGTGATTATAATATTTCAATGTACATACTTTTCTTCATTAAAATGTTTAAGTTTAAGTTTCATCACAACAAATAATGTTTTACCCAGATTGCGACTGGCTGTACCAAGATGTATCATGTCGTGGATCGGGTTCATGTGTGCTGGCTAGTCCTGGTTATCCTGGTCTTTATCCACCGCATCGTCGTTGTCGGTACCTATTTGCCACAAATTCTGTACACACGCGGGTCAAGATCATTTTCACATCTGTATTGCTACCTGAAGAGTAAGTACAATATATTTATTTCCAACAAAAGTTTAAGATTATAAAAATGGAACATTAAGAATAATTTTATTAAAAACTATGATCATTTACCACATGGTGGTGAAAAATAACACCGTGAGGAAACCTGCCAATGCTAAAATAATTCGAGGACATCTGAAATCCTAAAAATACGCACGAAATGAGAAGGGGCGTCTTCCCAGCAATTGACCGTACATAAGATGAAATATTACTTTATTTTTAATGTACACCTGGTATTTTTAAACAAATAAAAGGGAAGTACTAATTTAGTATTATGTATTTACCCTATATGAAATTTGTAGTTATCTATTTCTTCAATTGTAGCAGTGTTACTATCTAAATATATTTGTTATTTTAAGTCGATGATTTATATACCTATTTTTTGTCATCCGTGAAGTAATGTGCAATTAATAGCAAGTTAAAAACAAAAATATAATTAAATATTAAAAGATGCGCAAGAACCTATATAAGCAAGAATTATACATAATTTATCTATAAAAATAAATGGTACAAATAATCGTAAATATCAAAAAAGGGTGAAAATTCATTTTGTTTTCATAACAAAACCCTAAATTGAGTTTACTTTGAATTTCGTTATACAGTATTTGTTATTGGAACAAAACTATTTTGAGCACTATTTCATGAAAGAGAGTTTGATATTTAACCGTTTTGGACGCAGAACAATTGCTTTAGTAAATAAAAGAACCTCTCTATCTAGTTTCCACCCTTGTGGATTCGTTCCATCGCAAGTTATTGAAAATTTACTGTGCAGTCATTCTTTCTCAATATTTGTAAAACTTACATTTTACAACTGTTCTACAATCGTCCACTTTATATTTTTTAATTTATATTTTAGCTAACAAAATGACCAATAAAATACAATTGTATTATTTACTGTAGACTTGTTAGTAGAGAGATTATGACAACATATTATTGTATAAAATAAATATAATTAAATTTTATACCAATTCGTCTTAAAATATCCAATAATAATATTTTAAACTATTTAATCGCATTGTTAATAATGAATACTACAGCAAATGGCTAAAATTAGCATTAATAATTCTATAAACTTACGTATGTTTAAAATATTAAAAAGTTTACCTTTAATTAAATAAAATAGATAATAGGCAGTTATTTAACAATTATAAAAGAAAAACAACAGTTATAAAGGACAATGTCCAAAATCGCCCTGTGTAATAAATGCATCGGACATACACTATAATTAATTTTCTATTTTATTATGTTAGTTGCAAATACTTTTATAACACGGACTAGCTGCATGCAAAAATAAACATTAATAAGTATTTTACTCGACTAATAACATTAATCGCCGCCATCTTCGCCAAACATCATATGGTGTTGAAAAATGATTAGGTATGCCCAATCGATTATAATCGATTTTTGAATTTAATGAAATACATTTTGAATTTATTTCGAATAAAGTTTCAAAAAGAAGCTACAATAAAAATATAAAATTACCATTTTTTTATATTCTTTTATATTATTCACTAAAAGTATAATTTAAAAAACCTACTATACCTAATGAACGAGGTCATACTCGATTTTGTATAGGTAGTTAGAATAATGCTGAAGAAAAATATTAGTAAAGATAATTATTCAGTATTTTCTAACGATCGTTTAGAGAGGATTGTATTTTACGTCTTACTAAACGATAACTTACGTGTTTTTCAACAATTAATATTAAAAAAACACTTTTCGTTACTGCATTATTTATAAATGTGTTCTTTAAAAAGAGCAATATTGTAGACTAGATACAGACGTTATTATTAATATTGTTACAAGTATGGAAGAAGTAGAGACGTACGTGTTATTATAAGTAAAGTAGGATATTGTCATACTTGTTATGGTATTAATATTATCGTATGACAAAAGATGATTTGTGATGTGATGTTTGTTTGTAACGTATGGCTATAAATAAATATTATGAAATATTCATAAATCGTATCGTATTTGGCGTTCCTATTTTTGATGTCACTAAATTGTCACTTGTCACTTGTCAGTCCAGTATCTCATGAAAAAAATACGATCTCCAAATCAATTCAAATCGAACATACTAGAATCGAATCTCGATGAAATCAAGCATTAACAGATCTATTTTTGATCAATCGCGACATTTTCAAACATGACTAATATGGACAGAGAACATAATTATTGACGATAATTTACCGTAAATACAAATAATTGTATAGAAACATCATTAAATAAATAAACATAACATCACGCATGTATTTCTCAGAAGGAGTTGGTAGAGGTGTGTAGTACTAAGTTATACGTCCCATGTAATAGAGAAACAAGCCAAACACCGGACACAAATCCAGACTCCGTGCTATTACTGGGAACTTCAAGTTATAAAAAAAAATTGTCATACCCTGGAATTGAAACCAGAACAGAACAGTTTTTCTGTCTGTCACAAGGAACAGATGTTCCACCTATGCAAAAGTATTTCTTGAATCGTTTGAAATATTCTTGAATAAGTCCAACTTGAGAGGTTTTTGGATCGATTCATTGAATCGATGGAGTGTTCTAAGTCGATATCAGGACATCGGATAAGGATTCTTCAGATCTATATCGATCTGGAAAATCTATTATTTTATTATAAAAAATCGATTAAACGATTTCAAATCGACATGCCTACTTTATACTATCATCTTTCACTCTGTCAAAATTACATTGGTTGGTGTCGTTTGCTTTTTGTAATTGTATCGGTGTTTTGGTGACTTTTGGGACTATAAATTATATATTATATAATATATTGAACATTACGACTTGACTATTTTAACGGACTCTGATTGCTTTCAAGAACGACTTACCTTCCTGTGATTTTCGGAACAGTGTACCGCCTCATACGATAAACTAGCATTCATAAACGGTTATACGCATACGCAATGGAAAGTGTATTTTGTGTAAATTGCGGCTCTGCTGGTGGCTCAATGTTGTTGAAAGATGAACAGAGAAGCAATCGTGCAATATTGCTGTAATTGCATCGTTGTACGCAGAACCATCGGTTGCTGCGCCCATGTTATGACCATCATCATTTAGAAGATGAACAATATACATGAAATTAATCTGTGTTTTATTTCTAATTCAAACATAATAAATTAATGTAGTTTAAACAACTTATACTCCCAATTAGGTGCTAAGTCGGTAAGGCTGGTTTCATAGTCACGCGTTTGAACAGCGCCGTCCAGACGCACACGCTTGCAAATGCACTAGATAGTAGTCGATAATATTCACGCTGTTCAAGCACGCCCTGTTGAAAATTCGTTAAAAACGTGGTTGATATGCTCGCTGTTCGACGGCATGTCTAGCGGTGTGACTGAACCATCCTAAATCCTCTACATTTAGGTACTAGGTATCTCACCGTTCCGTATATGCTAATGACAACATCTAAATGCTAACAGCCATTATATACATACATTTTTATTTTTACATGAATACACAAACATTATCTCTCATTTCGAAACCAATGCTAAGAAAGCAGGTTTATTAACTAGATTCTATGCATTTATACGTTGTACTTACATACACTTAGGCTTTAGAACAAAAATAGCATACCTAATTGTCTAGATAGGTACTAAAAATAGCTAAATGTTTTAGGAAATCATTTTTCAGTTTGTAAAAAATCACTCGGAGCTATGAAAAACCGTAATATTCGTGGTTCAATTATAACCTCAAAATCTGATACTTTTTTTGAAATATATCTTTTATGCAGCTAGTCCGCTATAAAAATAAAGTCATATAGGAATTTACTAATGATCGACAATAAAACACACAATTTTCCGATGCTCTTGGTTCCAGGGCGAACAATGTATGGGAGCAGAGCAATGTCCTTTTACATAATAATAGAAATGTTGTACGCCGTCAAAATATTTTTTGAAGGATGTTCATATATTGCGTGAATTTTATTTTGTTAATATTTCCAAATTTATTGCTTTTTAAAAATTATATTCCATGTAATAATTTAACATAAAGAACCACAGTCTTCTGGTACAAAGTTAACATGCATTGATATTTTACCCGACTACCCTGGAAGGTGGGTAATATTTTTCGAGAGCATGTATATACCTATGTATGTAAATATCTTTGTCACGCTCTGTAGCCTGAACGGCTTAATGGATTTTAATATATGAGGTGTCGTTAGATATATCTTAACTGTGGGACTGATATAGGCTATATAATATTTATACATTGCATCTGCAAATTTATCATTAATTTTTTTAACGCATTCGGGTATTTTAATTACTTTTGATACCATTAAGCTTGTTACTGGTCGTAAATTATTATTTTGTCGTGGACTACAACTCATTCCTTAACTTCTCGTCTCTTTTTGTGGAAACACGTTGTTCAGGTTATTGCTCGCTGCAAACGGCGTTGGTGCATGTGCCTCGCCTACAATATTCAAAATGTGAAAGTGTGAAGCCCTTGTATCAAGTATTTTGATATAAACATTATGAACCCTTTCCAATCCAAAAAAATTGACTGATACCTAACAACTACATATCTTTACCTGTTTTGGTCCTTTCCAAGAGGTATGGAGTTTTTTAATAGAATAGTTAAGATCTATATACACGGCAAAGTGGTAGCTTAGTTCCGAAAAAAAAAGGCGACGCAAAGGCAGTGTGTATATATTTACACAAACCGTTTTGAGACACTATTGAACTACTTATAACACAAAAACGATTATACCAATTAACTTGTAATTGCATTGTATAGCTAATAAGCACCCTGTGATTTTCTAGAATTTCAAATTTCATTAATAAATAGTTATTGAGTTATAAAGGTCTGATTGACATTTTGGTGTCAAGATACGAGTAGTTCATTAGGCGTTTACAAAGAAAATGATTAAAAATATATACAACCGACTTCATTGTAAGTTATTTAGAATAACTAAAAACGATTGGTCCCCATGAAAAGTATCAGCTTTCAAATAAAAAAGAATCATTGAAATCGGTTCATCTACAAAAAAGTTATGAAGTAACACATAAAAAAAGAACATACAGTTGAATTGAGTAGCTCCACCTTTTTGAAGTCGGTAGAAAATATAAAGAATAGAAATTGTCGATATTCGGTGTTTAGTTGCAAATAACGTACTTGAAACTAACTGCAACTGTTTCAAGAACGTTGATCATTTCTATAGAACGTATGATTTAAGGGAACTACTAAGAAGCTGGTTTTAACAGTGGTAGAGCCACGTGGCAGCTTTTGCTGTCGCACGGATGGGCCGGCTCGAACCGGGGTGGTACCAAGACCTCACAGAAAACCAGCGTGAAGTAAAGGTTTACCTCTGCGTTTCGCTTGGTGAGTGTAGGTAGCCGGAGGCCCTTTTTACTGGTCTACTACTACTATCTACATTTTGATTTGTAATAGAGGATAGATGTAGATGTCTATGGGCCGCAGCAATCACTTACCATCAGGTTGACTGTGTGCTCGTTTGTCACCCTTAACCTATAAAAAAAAAGCTGGCGCCCATTCAGGTCTCAACCTTTTTAATGGCGAAACCGACAACCCCCAAAGTTGTTTGTACCAAACTTGATCACTTTTTGACAATAATGTTTTGGTGGTATATTATTTAATACCAACAGCTTCCGATTGTTCCGGTGAATATTCCTTCTCCCGAGGAATCTCCCAAAAAGAACCTGGATTTTAAACAAATACAACGTAATAAAGGACCTAAGACGATCATGTTTTAAAAAAATCAATTGCAAACGACCTACTTATCTTTGGAAAGATCCTACATTAAAGTTCATTCTTTTCTGATCATTGTATCCTAATCACGCACCTATAAAATTCATTGAATGTTTTATTACATCAGCAGTAGACGGCAGAATAGAAGGGGAAATCATTACATTATGACATTGAAATCAATATGTCATGTCTATCGTTATCTAAAAGTGTAACTGCTTGTCATATTGTTTTTAAAACAAGGCATACAGCAATTTTTTTTTTATTTTATTCAGGAAATATCCTGGTGTACGTTGTATGTGTGCTCTTATCGCAAAGTCGTTTGAGTTGGATTAGTATAAAAAAACATACTGTTTTAATTTAGTTTCCAGCATTCTATTTAGTGCCTCATTATGTAACAGTATTTTATAATACCGTTACCGAATATGTAATAATCAATAATAAGTAGACTACCTGCCAATCACGGCAAATATGGGTCGTTGCCTTATAATTATTCATATCATGGGCGATATATACATTTCAGTAAAGCTAGCAATGAAGAGATCAAATTTGTGCTGTTACTAAAAAAATATATATAGACTACTGCCTGTTATTTTTTATTTCAAAACGTTTTTTGTGATCCGTTCTACAGTGCTGAAAATATATGAAAACTCCTCCTAAAATAACAAAAACAAAATGGGGTCAAAACTTGTGGCTGCTTAAGGTTTTTCTATTTTAAGTCGTCGTAAATAATTACTTTATAAAATGGTTCGTAGCTGAGAACTAAAGGTTTCCTAAATCTAGTAATAAGAAATAATTCAATTAGTTTTTCTTTTTATTATTAATAATAATTATATATATCACAGCCATTGCACATCGGATTACTTAACGCTTCGGGCTGGAAGCTCGCCATCTGCACCTTTGCTTGCTACAATTTGCTCGGAAAAGAGTGCTACTTTAGAGTATCCTGGACCTAACTTACTACTGGAATTCAAGTAATTATTTCATTTTTCTAACAATATAATAAACACACAAATTACCATTTTGAATTAGATGTTGTTTAAATGATTTCATAACAGTAATATTTTCAATTTTCTTTTGTTAATTTAGCTCTGGCCCATTGGTTCCACCTTATAATTACAACGGGTTTATTGCGAAACTGGAGTTCTTAGAAAGATTAGAAAGTAGTGTACCGCCTCCCACTATAGTAGCGGCGTCACCACCTCTTGCAGCACTAACACACCTTACTCGTCATGGTAAGTATCCAAATTTAGTTATAGAGAAAAGTATAAAATCTGTCCCGAACCAATTTTCTGCGAATCTAAATTAAGCTTAGGTTACTTTACTTAAAGGTATTGACAATTTCTAAATTGTAATCAATATTTGTTGTGTTGATTAACAATTAATCACTGCAATGTTATAAATATATTAAACAAAAAAGTATTAAAATATTGTCAGTCGTGGTGGCTCAGAGGCTGCCGAGAGGTTAACAGTATGCTAGAAAACCGAGTTCAATCACCGTTGGTATTAATGATATACTACCTACTTGGCGATGTATGCGAATTCTTACCGTATTTTTTTAAATATACAACTGCAATTCTCAATGTCATTTAATTTATGAGTGATAAAAGTAACTAGTATAATAATAAATGTCGTACGAAACAAATATTTTTACATATTTTTGTTTTGATTTATGTTATTGGTACATTAAATTCCTTTCATATCTCCAACAAGCTGACAGGACAGCAGGAATGGACAATACAGTAGTAACAAATGAAATATCGCATAACAAGGTCAATGGTCGTATCGGGTGCGGCGCAAGCGTACGCAGCTACGGAGCAGGTGGAGTGCGTTCCGGGCACTTCGATACCCGCTCTACGCCCTGGCGCTCTCAATGTACAATACATTTGCTTGGCGCTCCGACAGATGTAGTTCAAGTGTCCCTTTTTAATTATAACTTAAGGTGGGTTGAATTTTGGTTAAAAAACATTAAAAAACAGTAACACGTTCGTAATCTATATATATATATATATATATATATATATATATATATATATATATATATATATATATATATATATATATATATATTATACCTTAACATAAACATTAGAAAACAGTAACACGTTCGTAATCTATATATATATATCATACCTTAACATAAAGTATGTACATAGTTTATTTACCTATAAATCACTATAAATTTGCGCACCCTTACTGAAATAGCTACGTATGTGAGACGCAGATATAATTGCATTCATTTTCACAATATTCTCTAATATTCACAAATTATTTTTACGTATAAAGCTATGGATATAATATTGGTAAATAAATAAATATTATAAGAGAAATTTTATGTTTCCTTTTGTTTTTATGGCTTTGGAATTATTATCTTATTATAATATTTGTATGATATGGTGGTACCTACCCAGAAAGTCGCTTAGGCAGAAAAACAAAACAAAAATACCTCCTAAACTGAGGTAAAAGTGTTATACACTATCCATATTCTATGTAAATTAACCAAGGCATTTGTTTTCTCATTCATTACTATTAACTGAAAGTATAAATTCGAGGTTACATAAAATAAACGAAACCAACCGCACTTACTCGCCTCGTAGCTTTAATTCTGATGATGCATGTTTTGTTTAAAATAAATATTTACAATGGAAAACAATATCCACCACTTTGCACTAGCGTGAGGCACGCATTGCATATTCATTTTGGAAAAGAAGTGGAAAAACAATAATGAGGTTGAGAAATATCTTTGCAATATCATAAAATAAAATACTACGTTGCTTTTGAAACAACCCAGAACGAGCACGGTTATTACAGCCGTCGCTTGCGAATTTATCTGTTAAAAGGTCGAAATTTCACACTGCAAGCAATTGGTGAAATTAAAATTATTTTTAAAAAAAAATTCGTTGTATGTAGCTCTTATTTTAACAGTGAAGCTACTTTTTACGAGTAATCATTCTTTCGTTTTGGTTTTATATTTATAGTTTACCCAGAGCAAGCTAGAGTGGGATTCTATATTTTATTTTATATTGGATTTATAATGTATGATTTATTATATTAATTTTGTTCACAATCCCGCCTACCTTGAGTAGAGAGTACGGGCTGTTTTTCCAAGTAATTTTCGCTTGCTGGTTTATCTTTGATAACGCCTGTTTATCGAATATTTATAAATATATTTAATCAAAATAATATATATTTTAGGTTACAAAGTTGTAGATCTCACATTGAGATTCTAGAGGGATTTCATGAATTTATTGGGAGGGGAGAAAAGGGGAACAGGTCAGAGAGGGGTGATCGAGCACTATTAAGAGTATGCGGTCCTTCGGTCAGAGAAGCCAGAGATCCATCTGGAAGATTCCTTATTCGTCAAGCTGTTACCTCTAAGGGTGCTAACTTAACCATTTTAGTGCGACGTGCAACAAGTCAAAGTATAGATGAAGAAGAATTCGTCGATGGCGCGTTTGCATTTCATGATGGTAAGTTTACATACATACCATTTTTTGTACAAAATATGTTCTATAGGCAATGATTATTTATCTTATACAAGCGTTAGCTAAGGACGAAGTTTCAAGTAAAAATAGTTAAAAACATATGTAAATTATAAATTCTCCCTATGAATCAATCTATGGAGGAAGCCTACTAGTGGCATCTATCGTAACCCGATTTTGATTCAACTACTCCACCTACTACTTTGGATATCGTGAGATTTATCTTAAATTATCTTTTATTGAATCTTGTAGTATCCAATATTTGGCAGAATAAATATCCTGTATAGTAACGAGAAGCCGCGGGGTCTTGGTAGAGCAAATACTGAATCACGTACTCGGAATGGCGGTAAATGCTTTAAATGTCTGGGGGGTCTTTATGCGACAATATGTCTATTTGATTTAATGTATCAATGTATTGATAAGATAATCGATACACTATACTGGTCAATTGTCCATCTTTATATTTAAAAAAAAAAAAACTGAAGTGACAACAGTCTACATTTCCATGATGTGTAAGTGTAAGTGTCCATCGTGGTAAAATGCAGAAGCGTTGTCACCTCGGAGGACTTAGATAGAATACCTTACAGACTGTGATTATACTGGCTATATACTCTCTCTCTCTCTCTCTCTCTCTATACTCTCTCTCTCTCTCTATACTCTCTCTCTCTCTCACTCTCTCTCTCTCTCTATACTCTCTATACTCTTCAGACCGGAACACAGCCTACCCAGAAAAGTCCTAGGTAGAAGAGGAGTCCTAACACCGTGTCAGTTCATCATTAGACCTACCAATGATTTGTCGTGTATAGTAAGGGACCATTGTCTATACAATTTTATTCGTTTGACTTTTTTGTTACACTATAACCTGGTTTTCTTATGTTCAAAACAATATACTAAATGCAAGATTTTTTTCTTGGAGTAAAAGATGAGTTTAATATATGTTACAGCCTCTTAAAGCTGGGCTGGCTGAGGCTGAACATTGGCCTCATCCATAGATCACATTATAAGGGGGATAATTGAATATAGGATATTTTTCCAAATTCTTTGAAATGATTATGCACCGCACATACACGGGTAACAAAACCGCGAATAATTTTATATTGTCCTTTGTAATGATGGTAATGACTTTTTATTTTTTAATGTCTTACGAATAAAAATTACAAAATAATAATTTAATTTAGTAAAGTTGCATTGTTTTGAATACGTCAATATAATTTTAAGAGCAACACGATGGCACGGTATCGCCTGATGCCACGTGTGCCACAACACACTACGGACTCGCAGCGCTTCGACATGGAGGTGTTTCTGCACCATCACACCATCACATATTTTGGAATATTGAAGAAAGATTATTATGTACGCATCTTTTCATGCCAGCAATAAACCAAAGTGTAACCATTGAGGTACGTACAGAATTACCAGAGACACTGCTTAATTTTTTTGATGCCTAATGTCATAACCTGACTACTTTTTATTAATTAAAAATATTTACTTCTCTTTTTCACTTATATACCAGAACTAACAAAACTATAACGAGGTACGAGTATGATTTAAAATTTGTAAGGTTTTAGATATTTTTGTTATTATGCATTCATTTTCTTTAAAAGTAAAGTTAATATGCATAGCTAGATTGTTATATATATATATATATACTAGCTGGCCAGGCAGACGTTGTTCTGCCCTCTCCGACAACCCTGTGTCCTATAAAAATTCTTAAATTCGTAATAAAAAATATTGAGGGTCACTTATAGGGAGAAAAACTATCCTATCTCTCAAGATGGACCAAACTGCACACAGTGTGCAAAATTTCATTGCAATCAGTTTAGTAGTTTAGGAGATCATCGCGGACAAACAATGTGTCACGTAATTTTTATATATAAAGATATATATATATTTAGTGACCCTTTAATGTTATTTTGAAAAATTACCGTTACAAATTTTATAGATACTTTTACCATCAATTAAAAAGTATTACTTATTCTTATTAAACTTATCGAATTTTAGCTGTAAATTTTCATTATGATTTATATATTGGAATAAGAGCGACAAATTAGCATACTGTGCACACCTGATGATAAGATAAAAACCTATCAGCGACTGTTACAGTCTAATAAAAAAATTGTTGTGCTATATTTATTTTATTTATTTATTTATTTTTTATTGTAACACCTTCCTTACAACTAAGGTAACAAGGTGCGGACTTAATGCCTGTCGGCATTCTTTGCCAGTCAACCCGTAGGCGTGGTGAGCTATTGAGGCAGGTGTAAACAACTTATGATCTTTAAAAAAATTAAATTAAACATTTATATACCTATACATAAATATATGCCCTTTTAATCATAACTAACACCTGAGATTTATTTTTCTATTAAAAATGTACAAAGTAAAGAACAAATAACATTCACAGATCCAGCGCCTCGACCGAATGTGGAGTGCCGAGCCACCCGGTACAGCGCCTGTAGGTTCGATGGGCTGTAGAACAGCTTGTGGTGATGCTGGTTGTGAATGTCGGGCTGCCACTCCTTTACACTACCATGACCATATAGCATTAGTTGCTAGTGATGGAACGCACTTATCGTGTCTTTGTGGAGATTTTCAGGTTACTTTTTTTTAATAAGTTGCGAATAAAAGCAGTCGGTGTAAAATATGCTTTCGATTTTATAAAATGAAAATTGACTTATTTAGTTAAACATATTTTTAATTATTTACTTATTATTCAACTCCTGACATAAAATGATAAAAAAATCAAAATTATTTTTAACTTTTGGCATGTAAAATAAAATATTTAATTTAATAAAAACAAAGTCTATTCAAGTAATGTAATTGATCTAGATACGTAAGTTGTATTAGGTTTTATAATAACTATAACTATAACGGATTTTTTCGCGTTTAATTTATTTCTTTAATTCCCGACGTTTCGGGTGCTTTACAGCACCCATGGTCACCTAGGATCCTAAGCAGATGGCAGCACCCATCCAACTTCTCTATTGAAATTAGGATGTTTCTTAATTTCAAGAGCTTCGCGAATCATTCTTGGTAGGAATCGGTGTTCTTTTGTTAAGATTTGTGGTCTATCAAATGTAATGTAATGGCTGGGACGATCTATAACATGTTCACACACTGCAGACTTCCCGGAACGCCGGTGCTTCAAGTCAGCTATATGTTCTTTCACGCCGGATTTAATAGGTCTTTTTGTTTGTCCTATGTAAGAGAGACCACATTCACAATCCAGCTTGTACACTCCTGCATTTTATAGATGGATATGACACTTGACGGAAGGTAAAACGTCGGGAGTTAAAAAGTTTAATTCAACGCATAAAAATTAGTTTCATTTAATGTGTAGTCTTCACGTATATATAAGAAATGCCATGAAAAACATAACTTGTAAAAAAACCGAGTCTCGTAACTCAGTTCTTCTACCGTAAAAGTTGTGTTGGTTTTTTTACAAGTTATGTTTTTCATGGCATCTCATTTCTTTTTGTAGATAGTTATATCTAGGTACATATCTACACCTATTATTCCATTATATTATACATAATATATAGGTGACACTGATTCATTCACTGCAAATGTACCTTTGTAATCCTATATATTTATATGGGATTACAAAGTTATTTATGCAGTTAGTGTATCTCGAAAACTGGACCGAAATTGCAAAATATTTTAGTTTTTTTTTAAATTTATATACTAAAAAATAATTGTATTCCAAATTTGAAGCTTCTATGTCTGCTAGAAGTGCCTTAGAGTTTGGATGATCGGTCAGTGAGTGAGTGACAAAATTAAGAAACTTTGACTAGTTATAATTGTTAAACTGCTGGTTCAATATTAATGAAATTCGAAATATACCTAGTTTATACAATGCCTACTTGGTTACTGAAAATTCAGGCTTCTAGTTTTATACACAACGAAGTTATCGCGTTTCGTAAATGGTCTGAACTGCTTCGAGAAATGGATGGTACGGCCGTGCCGCTTTATTGCTCGGCTTGACGTGCCCCCAGATCATTATATATACCTTATTTATTTTTTGTTGTATGTTATTAATAATAATATAACTCATACATTAGAGCAATAACTCGTAAAATTTATGTTATGAACACCTGTAGTTAGGTACTTACTTTTTATAAAATAATATATAAAACTCATAATAATTATTAAGTAATAACAAATTCGACTAATAAGTCTAGTGATTACCAGAAATCCTTTCCACTATACAAGAGATCTATACCCAGCAGTGGACTGCTTGTGGGATGGTGACTGAAGATGTATAATATGCAGTTTGTTGTAGTTAAATTTATGTATTATAATATTGATTCAATCGCCAGTCATGAAACATTACTGCAAGCTACTACAACATACGTCCGCTTCAGTTATTCGTGATCGGACGATACAGCGAGTTACGCCCGTGAAAATTCAATTACTTGAGAGTAATCCACCGTGTGCGTTATGCGTAAAGCGTCGCAAACAAATTTTATTTGTCCACTATGCAATGGTAGACTAAACGGTCAGGGGTTTAACTTTTACAATATTAGGAGAAAATAATAGAGTAAAATATATTTTCCGTTTTCTAATTACGATTTTATTTTATAAACATCAAAGAAAGATCGTTTTTTTAAACAACACTGCATATGTGCTACTTAAATAATTTAAAAAAATGCGAATAAATTTTGTAATATTATTTTTTCACATATAAATTTATTTCAACCTGAAAATATTTCAAATTTTCCATAGGCAGCCTGGCTACCAGTTGTAGTCCGCAGTTGGACTAGCGTCAGATTGGAGTACTCAGTAGCGCACTACACGTACGCCAGTCGGGGATTTGATTACGCAGCAGCATATAGTTTCAATGATGATGCATTGTGTGGACAACGCACGTACACAACTCACTCTGGTAACTTCTTACTTTACTATGTACCACAGGAAACGATTTCTTATTATTACTCGAATACTACACATTGAATAAAACCAATGATACCGATTTTTTCGCTACTTATTTACTACTTATTTCATCTTATTACAACCGGTCCCGATGTTTCGGTAAGCCCCACACGTTTTTATAAAAAATATGAATTCTAATCGAAAGTTTATAAAAAAAAACCTGACAGCTTCGTTGGTCTTGTGGTCGTAACCGCGTTTGCTGATCATGAGTTCCATTCGAATCCCTGGTTGGGCCAAAATCAGTAACTGGTTTTTTCTCCAAAGAAATTCTCAATGTTTCACCTCGCGGAAAACACGTAAAGCCGTTGGTTCTGTTCTTGACGTGACTGATTACCGTCCCATTGGAATATGTGAGGATTAATTATTGGAATAATGAGAGTCAGGGAATAGAAGTGTACCTGTGTTGGTGTTGCGTAGGCTAGTCTACGTTAAGTCTGGCCGCCGTGACCGGAATTTGGTCTGAGGTATATTATTATCATTATAAAAAAAGCATTACTAAAAACTTAAAATCGATCACGATAAAATCCGTAAAATTACTTTTAATCTATGACATATATCTTATATACAATATTACTAAAGTTGATACAATTGAAGTTTTTCGTTATAGATCGAATTTTATTTTCAAATTATTTATATATGATTGGAAACGAAGGGAACAGTTTAATTCAACCGTTTACACGTGTATGAAAAGTTGGTTATTTTTCAAAGTAGCGAAAGTCGTGTCCGAGAAAATTACATGCTACGACCCAGTTTCACTCCGCCTGAGGTAGCACTGAATTAAAAAAAGCCTCGAACAAGTTCGTAAAGTTCCAATTACAGCGTTGCTATTGTGGCAATTCGTGTCCACTTTTCCATTTTATTAAATCTAATAGGTTCTTGAACGATTTGCTTTCACAGTAACGATCTTTCCCTAAACATTAAGAAAATTGATTTCCGTTGTTTTACAGGTGAAATATCATCAAGAAATGTGTCTGTAACAGGAACATTAAATGAGTTCTTTTATCAGCAATGTACTTGGGTACTAGACTCAAATGTTGAAAGACAGCTCTTTATCGACATTACTTCGGAACAGGTCAGTATTAGAGCGGAATAAAATATCTTGAATCACCCTTGGGCAAGTGTTTTCGTTACAAAATTATTCCAGACACGTAGTTAATCTGCAGTTACTTATTTTGTTGGTAATTTAATTTGAGTAGGACATGTCTAAATTATAGTTCGTTATTACACTTAGCTACTATGTATATAATTGGCCTTGTAATAAATAAATTTCCGATACTGTTATGTTATTGTTCCTAGGATTGGTCTCAATCGTTAAATATGTATTTAGACGTGTGTTATTATCTTACTAATACATAACTAATTATAGGTTGTAAGCTTGTAATTTATTCTATATTGTCCAATTTTCCAATTCTACTTTCACATTCGTGCGAGTTCAAACATCTGCTTCGTTCCATTTGACATTACTTAGGACTTCGTAATTAAAGCATGCTATACTTTTCTATTTATAATAGTACGGTACGTAATGTTTGACTGTTATTTGTATATAAGGATAAATCCTGCGGGTCTTGGAATATTACCCTCCACGAGTGGTCTGGAATTGCTGCCCACAACACAGGACTCGCAGCGGCGGCTGGCGAGCTACTTTATACCTTCTGTGCTCGCCATAAAAATCATACTTATACACTGCCGTGGCGATTGAATACTGTGGTTATTAGGTAAGTAATAAGTACATTGTTAGTGATTTGGAAAGAATAAATTTCTCTTTGCAAGCTATAGTATAACTGTTCCAAAATATCTCGTGTTACATCCATGCTCATCTGATTCCATCGCTTAAACATTCTATTGGAATTTATTACTACCGCTTGTGATTGTAGATTATTGATTCAAATCTCAAACGGTGATTGAAAATTATAAATTAAAATTGTTAAGACGAGATGTCACACGGCGACAGTTTTTGTATTTTGGCACTGCATTTAACTTCACTTCCACTTTCTTTTAGCCAAATTCAAAAGATGCAATTATACTGTATGTTTTTTTGTATTATAATACGCGATATCTTTGCCAATTGCAAATCAATTTTAATGAAACCTTGTTATTTTTAATTCTCATCATTATGAACTCGAGGGTTAAAAGTGGCTAACAGTGCAAAACTGGGGCATAAGTTTTTAGCCGTATTATTTAGACGACATTCCCCACTCAAGTGTCACAAATTTTTACTTTTTATATGGAATAAAAACCGGATGAAAAATTAAAAAATAATAATATAATATCCCTATAGTAGCTTTTGTAGTTCGGGAATTTAATTCTTGGATATATTAAGGACATAAAGCGTGAGGCAGCCTTTACCGGTCAAGCAGAGAGGTAAAAAGAAGAAGATGTAAAAAGAAGTTGATAAAGATAAAGGAGATAAAATGTTTTATTTTATTTAAAAACCTTTATTGCACTTAAAGTGTACAATTGGCAGACTTAATGTCTTAGGCATTCGCTACCAGTCAACCACGAGCTAAGCAGATAAACTTAAGCAGGTGCCATAAAAATATGACAATATCTATACATGAATGAAAATACGAAATTATACATACCATACGTGTAAATACCACTATAAATAATATACTCTTTACCTGATACATATCCTACGCAATTTTCAAATAATACATAATCGTAATACATATATTTTTAGCATACATACAACGAACATATTATACAAAATCAACTTAAAGAATTTATAATATCGAGTCATGCAGAAGCATTTAAATAAGAAAGTTGCTGGAAGAACCAATATAGTTATCAAACACCATTCTCTTAAAGGCACTAATAGAAGTTGTTTTTCTAATACGTGGAGGTAATTTATTACAAAGCCTTATGGCCTCAGCGGTGAAGGATTAAGAGATACATTTGGTACGGCGAGGAAAAACACATAAGGTAGTTCCTCGGAGGATCGCAGGTTACGTACGTTGAGAAGAACCCAAAAACAGAAATTTGCATTTCTGGTATTGGGGAGTGCATGGATCATAAAGAATTGAAAATAGTGTGCGAAGAATTCTGATGCATCAACGTTTTGGGAGCAATTTAATCTTAGTACGACATAAGGATATATGATCGTATTTACGAAGACCAAAAATAAAACGGATGCAATTATTGAGCAAACAATTCAATTTGCACAGAAAAACATTAGGATAACATATCAGCATAATCAATGACTGGTAAAATAAGTCTTTTCACCAACATAGCCTTGGTCTCCATTGGAAGGAAATTCTTGAAACAATTAAGTTCACGCAGGGTTATTGTCACTCTCCGGCTTATTTCAGCTACCAGAGATTGCCAACTTAAATTAGCATCGATCATTAACCCAAGTTCTTTAACTACATGTCTAATAGGAATATTAGTGCTATTGTAAACAATAGGCGCCAGTGAATTAAAATATGATTCAGCTAGACAAAGAGGGCAACCAAGAATTATAGCTTGATATTTAGCAGTATTAACAGCAATTCCATAACTTCTGCACCAGTGACAGATGCACTGAAGATCTAGATTTAAAATGTCGATCGCTGTGTTAATCTCTGCTGGATCGATTCGAGCGTACAGCTGTAAATAATAGGTAGGTATAAAGGTAGGTAGGAGCATTAAACATTTAGAGTTATAAGATTTATAAAAATATAAAATAATAAAAGAGAAAGAATTCTACCTTGTGGAAAGCCAGTAGTCAGATTAGACCAAATAGAGAAGGACTGTTGATTGACTTATTAACTCTTTGCTAGCAACCACGTAGATAAGTTAACAACCAATCCTAAACTGACGACGAGAAACCCATATAATTACAGATAGCAAGAAGAATGTTATGATCAACTGTACAGAAAGCATTAAAGAAGTCAATTAGTAGCTAATTTTGACTCCTCCATACCCTCTCGTTTGTCATTGAGAACTTGAAAGAGAACTGTGGTTGTACTATGTCCAGGACGAAAACCGGATTGTAAGGGATTGAGCAATATATATATAATATTCTACTAAGCCAGCGCTTATCGACGATCCTACCTGATGTAAGTGGTTATATAGCTGGATAACTATTTGTGTGCAGCTGATTCTAAAATCTTTAAAAAATGGGAACTATAGAAATTAACAATGATTAACAGAACTAGGGTTATTTAACTTGGGAAGAGAAAGGACAAATGCTTTACGCCAAAAAGATGGAAAAACCCCAGTAGAAAAAGAAAAGTTGATGATGTGGGTAATGATTGGGAAAATGTTATCAAGTATGGGAATAATAATATTTCTACTCACATAATTATAACCAGCTGCTTTAGATTTAATGGAGAAAATAATTTTACGAAAATCTTCATCAGTTATTGGGTAAGAATCAAAGAAGTAAGCATTGATTTTGGGACGTGATGAGATAAGTGAAATAGTTCTATGTTAAGTGTAGTTGCCGAATAAACGTGCCGAGGAGAAGTGCTTATTAAGATCGTTGAGAGATATTGACCCCATATCAGGGCAATTCTTTTGTTTACGTAACCCAAGGGAATTGAGAAACTTCCAAGTGCCGGCTGGCGAAGAGCTTAAAATTTTCTTATGGATATGTCGGGGCTTAGCTGCTCGCACTCCGATTGCATCTATTTCTGGGAGCTTTATATACAATACATGATTGTTTTTCAAAGAGTAGCCAAATTTTAAACTTAAGTTCAAATATATAAATAATGATAAACAGTTATTGCAGTTTTTGAATATACAAATAAATAACGGATCTAATTTTATTTGAAATGATCCCAAATTGAATGCGTTTTATGGGCAACAGCTACACGTACGCGCGCTCCTCTATGTGCAATTTAATTCACAAAGTTTTTGCCAACCGACCGACCCTTACGAAGGTGTGCGTGCGTAGTAAGATAGTAGGCGTTAGCGTTTTATGAATGACAATCAGTTAACATAATGCATTACGACGTATTTTGAATTCAAAAGATTAAAACGACAGATTGTTTGATATGTTTTTTTAAAATTAATTTTTCTTCACCATTTGCCTATATTACTTATTCTGAACCTTCTCTGCAAATTTGGCCAGTTATTGCAAAATAACCCTGTATATTCTTGCCATCACAGCTATTGTTTTCAAATCTTACAAAAGCCCTATCACGTTTTGCCATTGCTTTACGGCTTTGCCATTAAAATACAATACACATATACATATTACATAACATTATGCAGATAATATAACAATTATACATTTGATATACATTTTACGTGGTAGTACAAGACCAGGACTATATGGTAGATGCATTAACACTTTCCAACCAAGCTCCCTCAATATTGCTAAATGGCCAAAGGTGTGTGTGGTCTGGGGTTATTATGATGAAATACCACTCCTTTTCTGTTGATCAATTTCAGCCATTTTTTCTCAATTTCCTGCTTGAGTCTTATTAGTTGTTGGTAGTAAACATCCGAGTCGTTGGTTTTGACCGGCAGTAAGAGATCATAATTAACGATGTCCTTCCAACCCCACCCACATATCACCACCTTACGAGTATAGCGTGTTAATCCGGGTTTCGCTACAGTCTGTGGAGCTTGACTACACTTTGACTATGATCTTTTTCGCACCTTCTTGTTAAAACTGATCCACTTTTCATCAACAATGATCAATCTTTTCGAAATGGTTCGGTTACATTACGTTTCAATAGAGAATCGTGAATGAGTATACGATTCATTATGTTTCAGTGAGTTTGTGTGGTACCCAAATACCGAGCTTTTTTATACAGACACTCTTTTTTAAATGGGTCATAAAAGTATTGCGGTCAATCCTCAATTCCTCGGCTATATCGTAACTACTAATATTTCGATCTTACTCCCCATTTTTTCAAAAATGGCATTCGACTTTATCCGTATGAGGGCTACCTGAGCGAGCTGCATTTTTGACATCAAAATTCCCGGAATGTAAACGCTTGAACCAACTTTGTGCTACTTATTATTACTGACACTGCATTAGGTCCATAAATGTCACAAATCTTTTTTGCAGCTTGAGTCGCATTTTTCTTTTTTTGTAATACAACTTCAAAATGTATCGAATTTCTTCGTTACATTCACTCATTTTGGCGGACAGAAAAAAAATTGAAAATGGCGGGAAAGTATTTTTACTTTTTATTCTTTTTTTATATTATCGGATACTAGTATGTATTGATATTAAAACCAGCCAGATACAAATAGTACCACCAAAGAGATTTTTCTTCAACTTTATACAAACAAAATACGAAGACACTTTTCCCCCGGCCTATCATTACTATTCACTATAGTACTATTCACTAGGTACACTATAAAAAGTTGACAAAATCATCATTTTGTATACCCTTGTTGCCTTCTCCAATCCATTAAATTTTTTTCAAGAACAATATAAGAAGGATTATGGCTATGTCTGTATGTTTTTCTTTTATTAATTTTTTTTTTACTTTAATTTGCTTCTTGAAGTACTAATATTGGCGGTAATTGGTAATTGGTGGTAATTGGTAATAAGTATTAATTTTTAAAATAAAAATTTAGCTTTTAAAATAATAAAATATTTGTAGAAATGTCATTTACTAGACAGAAAGCAGAGGAAGAACGCCAGATATCCTCTTCATCATCATCATTACACCTTTCGCAAGTTCTCTGCTGAACATAGGCCTCCCCCAAGGAATGCCATAAAGCACGGTCCTGAGCCACCTGTAAACATCGACTTTCTGCAACTCTTACCAGATTGTCACTCCAACTAGTGGCGGGCAGCCCTATACTTTGCTTACCGGTACGAGGCTACCACTCGAGAACCTTTTTTCCCCATCGATTGTCTTCTTCGAGCTATATAGTCGGCAAATTGCTACTTCAACTTACTTATCTGCTGGGATATTTCGGTTACTCTGGTTCTACTGCGGATATCCTCATTATGAAGTCTATCACGTAGAGAACTCCGATCATAGCACTCCATAGCTAGCTAAGCGACGTTCCTTATACGGCCAGTAGCGAAGGACCATGTCTCAGATCGTCAACACGCACTGGTTGTACAATCTTTTTCTTTTCAAGTTTTAAGGTACACTATATATTGGAGGTGTAAGAATATCCACTACCCCATATCTTCCATACATCACCCCATACCATCGCAAGAGGTCACAGAAGGAAAATGAGACAGAAGATGGGCAGCAGCATCTTTATGATAACAGCAAAACTGCAAAAAACTGCGCTTTCTATCCCGCTAGCCAAGCATAGCAACTATGCCAAACATCCCCCAATAGCAACGACACAAAGAAATGGCCTCCAGTTCTCGATGACCCCGCTATTCATCATAGCTACGGTGGCGACCATGGTAACGGCGGGGCAGGGGGTGCTAAGAATCTGCGGTGGAGGGTCTTTTGCCATCTTAGACAAAAATTCTTTTAATTAACAAAAATATGTAAGTGAGATGGCATTTATGCGAGTACTTTTTCTGTTGATATAATTATGTATTATATTGAAATAAATTAAGCAGAACAAAAATATTGCTCATTGTTCAACAAATTTGCTCAAGACAATTTTCAAAAATGAACTATAAACACTGGCTGCTAAAAAGTAACCACCGTCCTTTTATAATTAATGATGAAATGTAATAAATAAAAATGAATAATTGTTTCTTTCTTCGTCTTCTATGCGTTCCTATACATATTATCAGATTACTATGAAACTTTGGTGAGTTAATGGAAGTGCGCCCACGAACGTTTCTGACAAAAAAAATGCATGCTGGGTACATATCGACATAAATAAAGTAAAAAAGTAAAATACCAATGTTAATAATATTATTTGTAATTGTGAATGACACAGCCTCATAATACAAGTATGGCAATCATTCTCTCTAACTCTTCTCTACGGTAAAAACGTTATTTAGAGTGCCCGTTTCGTAAACTATTTATGAATGGCTTTAGCTTTAAAACATCTCTAATGCGCATGCTTTTACACCGCTGAGTATTTTCTCGGTTGGAAAATGTTTTTTCTTTCTGCATATTATATTAAGGTCGTGCGTAGATAAGGGGTAAATTTGACTTTATACCACACCGAGTAGAAAATCCTGAATTATTATGTGCAAAATTTCTTAATTAATTATATAAATATAAAAAGTTTTAATAATATGTATTATTTTGTTAAAAGTACACTTTAAGAACGAGTGTTTAATACATAACAGCTTTTAGAAAAAGTCTGTGAAAAAGGAACTAGTTGAATTACAAGTTTCAGTTAACAATAGAAAGTATATAAGTTATAATCTTGAAATTCAAGTTATTTTTAAATTTTCTTGTATTTAAATACTAGATTCTGTTACAATACCTGTGATCATTTTTAATGGACCATAGATTTGTACTCGATCTTATGTTTATGTGATTAAATATGAGTGTAGCGCTATAATTATGGTCAAACATGCAACCCGTTAAAAATTACCGGTATAAGTTTGTGTCATGCATATATTATTGTATACTAATACAGTATCGTTTTTGGTGTTTTACAATTATACTTGTTTCAACTGACTTTGAAATTCAAGACTCTATAATACTAGCGCCCAGATATTGGTAAAAGATCCCAACATCATATTATATCCTGTACAGTTCACTAAAATTATATAACAAATGGAACGCGAAATTTACTAGATCAATTTTGCGTAGGTAATTCTTTTGTCGCTTTTGGCATTTTCGTCAATTTGCCTTTTCCATCCATCCATCCATCCATTATAGCCTATAAAACTCTACTGTTGAACATAGACCTCTCCCATAGATTGCCTTTAAGAGAGATTTTTCCATAGTTGCCACGCTTGGCAGGCTTGTTGGCAACCGCGTTTTCATAATTTTGAGATGTTATCAGACAGATGCTGCTGCCAGTCGCCTGTTTCAGTTTCGATGAGTTCAGAGACGATATGTGGTAGTGGATATTCTTACACCGCCACTCCACGGTTAACATTTGCCTTTATAAGAATGGGTGTATTATCAAAATGCATCACTTAATATTTCTCGTAAATATTGCCATCATTGTAGCTACATTTCTGTTTACGCCTTTCTAAACTATTAATCACAGCCTCAAATTCTTTTGTTTTCACTGAATTAGGTTAGTCGCGCTGTCAAGGCAGCAACCTTTGTACATGATTCGGTGGAGGTCACAAGTGGTGCGTGCCAACACCCGCCTCGGCCCGCCGACCCCGGCGCCAGCGGCCGCCGCCACCGCCTCTCAACTGGAAAACTTATCTTCTGAAATTTGCCTGTCGGTTTTCGTAATACAATTGTTAGTACGAATAAATGTAATAGTTGACTAAATGCTTAAACAGGTTTATTATAAAATTACAACTTGTTCACTACATGTGTTTATTTTATTTTTTATACTTGGCTAAAATATGAACTGATTCATTCATATTACATCGAGAAATAATCAGTAAAATGTATTTGTATTTAATGAAATACTTAGAGCTTTAAATAGAAAATATATATACATAGATCATATTGTAATATCCAAATTAGAACAATTTTTGTAACAACACGAGTTACATATTGTGTCGCTCTTTTTCACTTTTACGAAAATTGAATAATGAAGGTTTGTCAATTAATGTCACTGTATACTACATAAATGTTGTATTACTTGTGTAAATAATAATTTAAAATTTAGGAATCACTTAGTTCTATAAATAAAATCTGTTATAGGCGAATGTAAATGTGGTTAATGTTAATTTAACGATAGTTATTTTAAAACTATTTTGACGCCTTTCTGAAATTTATTGCCAGTTTACACTCATCATTTTACTTTTGGTATTTTATTACGCTGTACAAGTTTTTTTTCTTAATTTGAATATGTTAAGATATATGATCAACCCTTAGAAAAATGTTCTTAAAACCTGTAGGTGTAAATATCTAAAATTAGGAACATTCAATGGTACTGCTACACTAGTTAAGTAGGTTATGAAAAAACAAGTAATTAACTAAATTTGTTACACGGAAATAAACATATGACACAAAATTAGTGTACTACTTATTTTTATTAACTTTCATTTTTATATATAGGCGATGTAAGTGTGAACCTTATTAAAAAATTCAATGGATGTCGTAAAATTCGACTAAGGGATACCCCTACATACACATGTGTTCTAAAGTTATGGTGCCAGAGTCTAACGTATAAAATGTCTACAAATCAATCGAGTTATGAGAGGTTAACTTCTAACAACAGGCTAGATAACATTAAATGGCGAGCAAGCGAGTAGTCCACCAGGAATAGTACCAGTCAAACAAATATCACTTAAAATGAGTTTCGTTAATCATAATGAAGATCCGTTTTATTTTTCATACATGTAATGTCGTGACACATCATGAAGCGTACCGAACATTGCATAAAACGCAACCATTTCATGAAGTATGACAGTGTCTTATATTTATTTATTTATATATTTTAAGGCTTATTATAAGAAAGTACATCATGTATTTAAATAATATATAATATAGTATAAAAATAATTGGGGTACTATTTAAGTATCTTCCCAATTATAGGCAACCGCGGCTTATCGTGTAGTGGAGGTGTAAGAATATATGTACATTACCCCATATCATCCTATGAGTGTCGTTAGAAGTAACAGAGGTTGCCAACCCGGTTGCCAAGCGTGGCTATTATGGCAATTATCTTCCTTATAAGGCAATCTATGGATGAGACTTATGTTCAGCAGTAAACTTTAATAGGCTGTAACGGTAATGATAACGACTTATCTATCAATATGTATAAAAGAGGAACGTGTAAGTGGCTGACTCATCCATCAACGCAAAGCCCAAACCACTTGACTTAGAAATCTGCAATTTTAACAGTAAATGCCTTTTATGACGTAGGCGCCTACTAAAAGAGGACTTTTGAAAATTCTATTCGTTAGATTAACCTCTAATAACCATGGGTCTAAACTGTCTGAAGGTAATTACTTCGACGCGGGTCACACCGTGGGGTGAAAAGCTAGTATTAAATATAATACTTGCTGGTAGTTGCTGCGAGCAAGACGCTCAAATGTCCGTAGATCCACCTTTGACTAAGAGTGGTCAATCGACGGTTTCAACTCGGCTGGGCAATGTTCGGGAGATTACGACTAGTGTTGCCCAAATGCAAGAACAAGACGAGACTTAGCCAGTCTTGGTCTTGGTCTTGCGCCAATACACCTGGCCTTGTTCTTGGTCTTGGTATTGCGCTCTCAGTCTTGTTATTGGTCTTGGTCTTGCAGCAAGAGTCTCGCAAGTCTCGCAAGCCTATTGCTATTTATTAAACGTTACTTTAGATCTTAGAACAACTTAACACAGTAGGCACATTTTGAGCTTGAATTAACATAGCCATAGAAAGACCAACCAAATTAATAAAAGTCTAAACATTTAATGAGAAATTCGAAAAATCAACTAATATCGGGTGGGGTTTGAACCCACGACCTAAGCGATCCGTGCCGATGCTCTAACCAACTGAGCTGTCTACCATGCCTCACGGCCACGGGAGTTAGTCTGTTTCTTAATAAACGTTTACATTTAATAAGCTTACTTGTGCTAAAACTTAGTCAAAACATATAAAAAACAAATTAATGACATTAATTTGACTGTATTATAAAGAACATTATCTGTCTAGAAGGAGATTGATAGACCCTTATATGAAATGGAATAAAAGAGTTATACAATTTACCATTTATTTAAATAAAAAAATAAAATACAATACAAATTAAATTACATAACAGTACACAACAGCTTTGACATTACTGTTACTTTATATTAATTCTTTTGACCAAGAATTAATACAAAGTAACCATCTGGCTGACTCGTCACTTAACCTATTTCTATGTTTTCTAATTACTAATGATGCTTTGGAAAATAATCTCTCAGCAGGTACTGAAGTTGCAGGTATTGAAAGAAAATCACGGGCCATCTTTGATAAAGTCGGATATTCTGTCTCATGTGTCCTCCACCACTCTAAAATGTCTTCCGAACTGGCGGCTCTGGGTTTACTTAGGTACTCCTCCAACTCGTCTATAACTAAGCCTTGATGAAAAGATCCAGATCCAGATGACGTCGAGGGACATGCATACAGTTTCTCAAAGTCTATTACGTCTTCATCTTCATCATATTCACATACTTTCTTTTCATTTTTTGGTGATTCTAGAGATGTATTCACTGAGTGTAGACTTTTATATTCTTTATAAAGTTCAGTAAATTTGCGCAGGCTTTCTGTTTTAATTTGCTTCCCCCATAATGTCATGTCAAAAGTCTGAGTTTTATGCCTTGGGTCTAAAATTAAAGAGGTACAATAAATCCAGTTGCTCTTTTTATAATGTTTAAGCATTTTGTCTCGAGCTGCTTGAAAACCCAGAATGAGCCTTTCATCCACTTCGGATCGATTAGGTTTCTCATCTAATTGTTTTACCATGGATTCAACTTTATCGAGCAAGAGATTGAATGATACAGTGACTAGCGGTAATGTAACATATTTTTCTCCACCAAGTTTCGTTGATAGAAGTTTAAAGTTTATTGGAAACTTATGTATTTTTTCGAGTATTTGCCATTCACTATCTGTGATTTGAAAATCATTCAATTCGGTGACAGAAGTGCACAATATATTAATTCCAGTTCTCACTTTTAAACCAAATCCAATCATATCATGTGTGGAATTCCATCTCATTGGACAGTCGAGTATGGGGTTCAGATTTGATGGCACGCCAGCTGCTTCACAAGCAGACTGAAACTTCCTCTTCAATATCTCACTTCTTTTTATTTTACTGGAAATACTGCGAAATTTTGTTATAGCTGTACGTGAGTCAGCAATATTTGGCGCATATTCTTCATCTTCCTCAGTTTCGTCTTCATTGTCTTCATAATGCTGCTCTTGTCCCTTATTGTCAGTTTCACTGTGTAATGCTAAGGTCTTTAATAAATCTTGTACACCAAGGTTCAAAATGTGAGCAAAGCACCGGAAATGTTGATTGTCTGAATCAAAGTGTGGCAGCTGTTTGTCCAATTCATGCACAAATTTGGTATTTGCAGTTGCGTTGTCGACCGTGATACCCTGTATTTTATCAATTATGTCATATTCCAATAAACATTCGTGAAAAATCGTTGCAATATCTTCCCCAGTATGTCGACCGCGTGATGGTATAAAATCAAGGACTACAGATCGATACTTCCATTCGTTGTCTATATAATGAATAGTGACCCCGTAGTAACTCCTACCAGCAATTGACGTCCATCCATCAATGGTAAATGACATTTTAGATGAAAATTGTTGTAGTCGTTTCTTAAGATTCAATTGAAGCTCTTCAAACCGTTCTTTGACCTTCCTTCTAAGTGTGGACCTTTTAGGAAACACCATATTTGGGCAAATTGATCGAAAATATACTTGTGTAGCTTCGTCATCGAAAAATGAGAAGGGAAGATATTTTTTTAACCATCCAATCAACTGTAGCTGTCGTGATGTTGTCACTGCTATTTTCAGACTGAAATAAAACAGTAAATCATGTGTCTCGCCGATTATAAAAACAAATGAAAATATGAGTGAATTATAAATACATATTTAACACTATAATTATAACTAACTAACTATAATATATATATATATATATATATGTGTATATTATAGTAAGTTAGTTTATATATATATATACAATATGTAACGTAATTAACGCACACCCTCAGACACTCTAATAAGTATATTATGTTATATGTGACTTTTTAATTAAACATGTTTATGCATTGATTATTTATTAAATTAGTTATACTAATTCCGGAACAATTTTGTGGTCACAGTATAAATCCACGAACGCACGCAGTCGCTCACGTAGGTATAGGTTTTGAGGGTCTTTCTATCACAATAGGTACCTATTCGCTCGCGTTCGAGACGCCGCCGCCGCTTGACACAACTGTAGGTAGGTATAAGTTCCGAAAAAAGCTGACAATACACAATTGTTTATGTTAAAAAATACCTACCTATGATCACTAACTGATGTTCGTACTCCGACCATCGAGTTGTTTATTTAAGTCTAGTAAACATTTGATCGCATCTTTCAACCACACTTCAACCATTGGACTTTCGACTCTGAATAATTTTGTTTATTGATTATGATACAATGTCAATAGGCAATATTCGTTACAAAATGTTATGAATTTGCATAACATTTGAATTGTAATTGTAAATAATAATAAAGTGCAAAAACTAAGAGGCAATACGAAAACATAATTCAAAGACGGCGTGTTTAAAAGATGTGAATCAAGATTACAATAATTTTAAGAATCAAATATTTAACTTACTGATAGCCTAAACTCTCATGCAACGTTGTATTTTAATACATTTTCAAAATGTCCACCACGGCTACGTGGCGCAGTGGCTTAGCAATCGAGTTGCAGCGCTAAGGACCGCGGGTTCGAATCCCGCACGGAACAATATTTGTATGGCCTACAAATAATTGTTCCGGGTCTGGATATTTGTCCTTGTGAAATTTATGTATGTACACTGCCCTCACAATACAAGAGAAAATCCTACTGTGGAGGTTACGTTTTAAAAAAGGAAAAGAAAGAAAATAATTTAGAAAGCAATTCAGTGTCATTTTTCACTATTCTAAAATCGTTTACTCATAGAATTAATATTTTAAGGTCCTCGGCACTTGTTGTCTCACTAAAATAAACTAATGATTTAATACGTATTAATATTTAATACGTGCGTAATCAGGTGATCTGGGAGGTCAATGGCCCGGCCGCCGCGACCTTTATAAGGTAGTCCAAACTTTGTATTTGTAAAGACTTTAACGTACTTGAAATAAGGTTCCATTTTCTTTATTTTGTATTGAATGACGGAATTTGTATTAATACAAATAACACTGCACTTTCAAAAGTCTTATTGCCTTGAGTTACGGTCCATTTCAGTTTGTATTGACTGTACAGGTTTAGTCTGACTGTAAATTACGTAGTTTCAATTATTTTTGGATAAAAAAATTACCTATAATACCTATATATATATATATATAGGAGATATATATATCAGATAGAGGATATAGAGATCAGTTAAGAAACGGGAAACTAAAGGAGTGAAATGGGAGTTGGAAGTTTGTATGAAAGTCCTACGTTTTTGAAGTTAGTGACACGAAAATCGGCATTAAAGTTAAGTTTTCAATAATAAAATCCTGAATAAGCTGTTTTACGAAATCCTAACCCTAAGGGGGTGAAATTGGGGTAAAATGGTTACATGCAAGTCCTATATTTTTAAAGTATAGATATGAAGATCGACATTTACTTTATTAGTTTTAAATAATAAATACTTGCATAGTTAAGCTTTACCTATATAGCCTCTTTATACTTAGGTAAGACTTTTGCAGCGGGAAAATTTCAAAATCTCATAGGAAGTCAGATATTGTACGCGGACGAAGTCGCGGGCGGCCGCTAGTTACATAATATATGTGTTATGTAATTGTGTGATAAGTATATTTTTTCTTACCTGTCCACTTTTTCCGGTGGTTATTAAAAAGCTTGTTATATCTCCACTTAATTTTGGTTTTTCAGGAAGAAATATTTGTGATTCCTTTTTGTGGAAAGATATTAGATGCTTCCTTAAGCCTGAAGTGTTTCTGTTTTTCATTTTTATTTCAACCTTTTTATGTTGGCATAATTTACACAAAGCAATTTGGGATGCATGAATTATGTCGAAAAACTCATCAAATTTGCTTTTAGGTCTTTTAGATCTATAACTCCAACTCTCACTACTTCGACTAGAACTATTCGACTCTTCGTCACTCATGTCAAATTGTAAACTTATCACTCCGAGAACAACAAGGATTAGAGTAAAACCAATTAATACATTAGACTCGAAGCAAAGCTCAATTGGGAATGACTGGAATTGACATAAATACTACTATTTGTAAGTACACGCCGAAAGACCGACAAAGGAAAGTTCGGCATTCTTTGATAAAAATAACGATTCTTCAGAAGATTAATAAAGCAGATGCGTTGCCAGATAGGTATAGTGTGCCTACGTAAAAATGAAATGTAAATATGTAAATAAAATTGTGTATATTATGTTCTTCTTGTGATTGAATTAATCTACGTTAATTACATTAAATTTGCCTTCACTCGTTTGAAATTCAAAATTCAAATATGTTTTATTCAAGTAGGCATTAAAAATACACTTTTTAATAGTCATATAATAACTGTTTTCCCCATTTCTTTTCCATGTCCAGGGGTTCTGATTCTACTGAGAAGAATCATGGAAGAAAGTAAGAAACTCAGTAGTTGCTCTTTTCAAAATATTTTTACAATAGTACTATAATTATGTAAAGCGATAAGTCAAACATAAAATGTCAAATGTATATGTAGATACCAAATCGGTTTAGAAATTTCTAGTTAGTCCTGTGTAGTACGAGAGGTCTGTTCCAAGCATTTTTGTCTGACTTAAATTGAAAAGGTGAAAGATCTAACATTTCTTTTGGAATCTTATTATAAAAGCGTATATCGCTACCCAAGAACGCATTATATACTTTGTGTAACCGGAAAGCAGGTATTGTGATTTTATTTTTATTTATACTATTAAAATTGTGCAATTCACTATTATTTACATCAATTCGATGCAATCAATTTCTTTAAACGGTTCTCTAAGAGATACTCGGGCTCCTAAAAAGTACATAGATCTTATTTTACGCTTTTTATTTAATATGCACACTTTTTATATTATTCGATTATCATTGTACAAAATGTTTACACGTTTCAAGTGTGTTAAAAGTGTCTACAATATTTATCAAATGGTCGTCACACATATTCGAACACTTTGTGTTTAAAAACACACACAAAAATCGAGATTTGCAGTGAACTTATTGAACATGTTTATCTATTATGTAATAATAATAATAGTAAGTAATTATTATAAACCCATATAGTTAATATTGTAATAATTACTTACTAGAATAAATTATTATGGTATCTACCTATCCTTACCATTATCTAATTACAATATTCCTTGCGAGATCAGCATAATGTATTCGTGTCCATTCTGAGCACCCGGAAACTTATTTTATTCTTTGGAACATGTACTCTGTGGCGGCATTCAAACAGTGTCAAATGTAGTGCGTGCGGCGTGGCGGCGACGATTGAATGCGATATCAATAGAAGCCGCCGGCGCGTGTATCTTGACCTTGTACTTCCGAATAGCTGCAAAATTTCTTTGACAGGTCAGTATTCGACCTTTGATGATGCCGACAACAAGACGCCGCGCACTATCAAAGTGCCGATGGTTAAAACTAGGGATGCACTGTTTTTTCTTTTAATGGATATTTTCATCCGCTATGTATGTTTATGGTATTGTTCGTAATGCGCATAAGTCCAATTTTCCAAATTTTTTTATATATTTTTTGCGTCTCATAGACACCCTAAGCGTATACCCGAACTCCTATACTCCCTGAAACGACACTCATTCCTAACTGCAAGACGCAAGAGTCTCGCAGGCTTAGTCTTGTTCTTTTTTTTTCTTATAGGATAAGGGTGATAAACGAGCACACAGTCCACCTGATGGTAAGTGGTTGCTGCGGCCCATAGACATCTACATCTATCCTCTGTTACAAATCAAAATGTAGATGCGTTGTCACCCGTGAGGACTAAGATGGAATGCCTCATTTGCAGTAAAAAGGGCCTCCGGCCACCTGCACTCACCAAGCGAAACAAAAGAGTCTACTTCACGCTGGTTTTCTGTGAGGTCGTGGTACCACCCCGGTTCGAGCCGGCCCATCCGTGCGACAGCAAAAGCTGCCGCGTGGCTCTACCACTGTTCTTGCTCAAATCTTGCACGGTCAGTCTTGGTCTTGGTCTTGCTAAAATTAGGCGGTCTTGTTCTTGGTCTTGGTCTTGCAAAAATGCAAAAACAAGACCAAGACTGCAAGACCAAGACCGATTTTGGGCAACACTAATTACGACACATAATCTCGTCACGTGTACATGAGGTACTTCAAAACAATATTATACAATCAGTGCATGTTGCCAGAAATGACATATGGATTGCAATGCTCAGCGAGCTATGGAGAGGGAAGTGCTCGGAGTTTCTCTGCGTAATAGACTTATGAATGAGGATATCTGCAGTAGAACCAGGGTAACCGACATAGTCCTACAGATCAGTATGCTGAAGTGGCAATGGTCCGGCCATATAGCTCAATGAACGAACCATCGATGAGGAGGAAAGGTTCTCGAGCTTCGTACAGGTAAGCAAATTGAAGGCCGGCCTCCCACTAGATAAAATGACGTATCTGGTAAGAGATGCAGGTGGCTCAGAACCATGCTTTGTGGCATTGCTTGGGGAAGGCCTATGTTCAGCCCATTGACATCTACATCTATCTTCGATTA